CATACTATGTAGACCAGGCTGCCCTGGGATGCAGAAGTTTGCCCAGGGCTGCCTCCTGAGTACTAGGATTAAAGACCTGTATCATCTATAGTATTGATATGCACTTCCTTAATGATTGGTGATGTTAAGTACTTTCTCATGTGCTTTTGAGCATTTGTAAACACAGAGACATGTTAAGCCCCCCCCACATTTTTTTTCCCCGTTTTATGAGACAGGGTTTCTCTGCATTGTTTTGGAGGCTGTCTGTCCAGCCCGGCCTCGAAGTCACAGAGATCCGCCTGCCTCTGCCTCCCGAGTGCTGGTATTAAAGGCGTGTGCCACCACTGCCCGGCTCCCCCCCCCCCATTTTTAACATTAGATTACTTTTGTTGAGTTTTAAATATACCTTACATATTTAGGTATGAATTTTTATCAGGTACCCGACTTTCAAGTTTTTTCTCTGTTCTGAGGGCTGCCTGAGGTAATTGGCAGTGTGTCTTTTGGTGTTCTTTTTTTCCACCCAAAGTGACAGCAATGTTTTCATCATGGTTTATTGAAATGAAGGCAAACACAGAATAAAAAAATATGTGGGAGTTAGGCTGTACTAAGTGTGATTTTTGTTGACAACCACCTGGAGCTGGGCTCTGTGGAGATTTGTTTGCAGGCAAAACAGGTAGCCTTAGCTTTCTCCTGAGACACAACAGCAAGGTCAGCCTTGTGAGCCAGCACTAGGCTGTGCTGACAGTTGGAGGCTATTCTGGGACCCAGAAGACTTAGTTTTGTAAGGCCCTGTGCTCCCAGATTAACTCTGGCTTTGGTTAACCCCCAGCCACTTTAGCGGTTGATACAGAGAGCAATGTTAGGTACAGTAGAAAGATCACAGTATCCATATTATTGATACAAGAAGTATTTTCCCTTGCAGAGAGCTTGTCTTTATTGCATGCTGATTATGAAAACCTTTATTTACTAAGAAGTTTTTGGAACCATTAGTTCTTTTTGGACTAAGAATTAAGCTTTATTGCAGAGCTTAAAACAAACTTTTACTCTAGTAACATTCTTGTATGTCTTTAGGGATATAAGCTAAGAGGAAACACACTTAAGCTACAGTGAAGAGACAAAGAAGTTCCACCACTGTTGTCATGGTTAACACCCAAAGATTAGCCTTCTTTCCAAGGAAAGGAATGAGTTCTTGTCTGGAGAATTGAGTATAGCTCTGGGTAGAGATAGAGTTTTGCAGATGGGTGAATCTGCTCATAGTCCATGCTGCATGAGTCAGCAGCACATCTGCAGATGGAGTGGGCAGAGGACATCTAAATTTAGTCCTTATTCACTGGAGAAGATTTCAGAGAGCATCCCCCTTCCTCTCATCCATGCTCTAGTCATACCCTCCTGGAACCAAGGCAGGTGGGTGGAGGAGAGGCAGGGCGGTTGAAGGTTCCAGACAGCAGAGTTCTGTAGCTCTGTTGCCTTGTACCACTGACTAGACTGGTTCTTTCCAGTTCTGTCATGGAGCATACTTATTCACGTAACTCTTGGATTTAGGAGTCTACAGTACTCTGAAAATTAGGGAATTTTCTGAAATTAGACATCCAGATTCCTAAACTTGGCTAGTTCAGAGACATTTTGAATCAAATTACTTTTCTAACAAGAGCCATAGCGGGTGAGGATTAAATACATTTGGTATGTGTGGCCATTAAAAATACTGGCTCAAAAACAGTGCCAGGAGCTGCAGATGCCCAGTGCACCCCTGTTCAAGACTGTATGCACCAGCAGAATCCTGCAGTCGTCTGTTTGGTTTTTACTTTATAGAGGGAATGGAGAATGGTTTGCAGAGTTGGAGTGCTGTATTTCATCCAAAGTAATTCAGAGATTCTTGTTCTTCCTAATCTCTACCACCCATCTCAGTGTTCACACTCAAATGGTTGTAACATTTTTATTGAAGTCTATGAAGAAAATTGAGTCTCACATAGATATGTTCTTGGGAGCAGAAAGGGTATTTTAACAGATAATTTAGTCAGTTATAGGAGTTATCCTGAGATGGGGTATCAAAACTCCCATAGTGGTAATTTTGCTTTTTGCTTTTTTGTGGTAGTTCTCATGTATCTTAAGGTAGCCTTGAACTTGATGTGCAGTAAAAGATGATGAACTTCTAATCCTCCTGCCTCTACCTCCCAGGCACTAGGATTGCAGATGTGTACCACTGTATGGTTTGAGGTGTTGGAGATTGACCCCAGGGCTTTGTGCATGCTAGGCAAATACTCTGTCAACTGAGTGAACTATGTCTCCAAGCCTTGTTAGTTTGTTAATGCTAATTGGAAATGCAGACTGAAATCATGTCAATGCACAGTCTTACTTTGTCACATTAAAACCCATTGTTTGGGTGCTAGAGGCAGGTGGATCTCTTGAGTTCAAGGTAAGCCAGGGCTACATAAGTGAGATCCTGTCTACAGAACAAAACAACAGCAAAATATATCAATCTAACTTGTTCTTTGAATTAAGCGTTTACTGATGCCTGATTTTCAAACACTATGTATTTACTATTTGAAAAACACAGGTTCATTGATTTATGTAGATTATCCATATTTAGGCACACTTCATATATAATGCCAACTGATCATACTTACAGACCATCCAGTGTAAGTATCAGAACAGAATCAGGAAACTGTCAAAATTTTGACAGTTTGCTTCCTAAAATTTCATTTTTTATTTGCATGGTCAAATTTTATCATAACAAAATTTCATTATTTTCTTTGAGACTTATTTTGTTCATTTTGATGTCTGAATAACAAATGCTTACTGTTTTCAATACAAACAGTATTCTGTGAAAAAGTGCTAGTCCATGTTGCAACCCTACACAAGTACTTTTCCATCATAAATCAGTAGGGCTTCAAGTATGCTTTCCATTTTGTCACACAGAACATTAGAAAGACTTATCCTCAAATACCTAGTTTTAATAAAGTTAATAATGTTTTAAGCAATTTATTTATTTTTATTTTATATGTATGAGTGTTTTGCCTATATACATGTCTGTGCACAATATGCATGTGGGGCTGGAGGAGGCCAGAAGAGGACATTAGAGTCCCTGGAACTGGAGTTACAGATGATTATGAGCTGCCATGTGGCTGCTGGGAATCAAACTTGAGTCTTTTGGAAGAACAACCAGTGCTCTTAACCCCTCAGCAATTTTTCCAGCCCCTAAACTAACAAACTTCATTGCTTCATTTTTAGGTTGAGTGGTCTCTTGATGCAGTGGTTTTGATTTATGCTGAGGCACCAGCAGTTTTACCCACCATTGCTTTGGCATCATTAGTGCAAATGTCAACACAATGAAAAGACAATCAGTTTCCTAATATCATTAAGAAGACGTTTTCATTTGACTACTGAATTATTGTTCAGCTAATGTTTTAACTGTTTATTTACTTGAAATGTGAAGGAAGGATTCACAGGCAGCTTTTTTACTTATTTCTTTGAAACAGTGTCTCCTTATAATGTCTCATCATAGCCCAGGAGGCTAGGAATTGTGACAGTGCTTCCTCCTCAGTCGTCCAAGTGCTCAGATTCAGGCATTTTACCACCATACTGGTCCATAAGCAAGTTTTTAAAAGGTAGTCTCATTTCCTTCTAGGTCCTGAATTGGAACTGTCTGAATCTGAATAATTATCCTTGTCAATGATTTCCTTTTTATTCTGTGTTACTGTTTTCTTTTCTGTTTTTCCTTCCCTCTACCTCTTTGTGTGTGTGAGTGGGGGGGCGGGTGCGCGCGCATGTGTGCAAGTATATGTCTGTGCATGTAGAAACCTTAGGACAACCTTGGGGTATTGCTCCTCAAGTGCTGTCCACCTTTATTTTTTCAGGCAAAGCCCTATTGTTGTCTCTCTCTCTCTCTCTCTGTGTGTGTGTGTGTGTGTGTGTGTGTGTGTGTGTCTGTCTGTCTGTTTGTCTGTCTGTCTATCTATGTTTTTCAAGGCAGAGTTTCCTTGTGTAACAATTCTGGCTGTCCTGGAACTCACTTTGTAGATCAGGCTGGCCTCCAACTCACTGAGATCCGCCTACTACCTGTGCTTCCCAAGTGCTGGGATTAAAGGCGTGCGCCACCACTGCCTGATTGTTTTCTAATTTTTAATTTATTTTGAAGTAGGGTATCACTGTGTAACTCAGGCTGACCTCAGTCTTGAGCTCTTTCTTCCCGAACCTCTCAAATGCTGGGCTTCCAGGTATGTCTCACCATGCCTGGCTCAACCAGATTTCATTGTGATTATTTCTTTTAGTCTTATTAAAGATTTAAAAGCTTACTGGGCATTGGTGGGGCACGCCTTTAATCCCAGCACTTGGGAGGCAGAGGCAGGCGGATCTCTGTGAGTTCAAGGCTGGGCTGGACCGACAGCCTCCAAAACAATACAGAGAAACCCTATCTCATAAAACCAAAAAAAAAAAAAAAAGATTTAAAAGCTTTATTTTAAAAAGCTTCTTTGTTTTCCCCTACTTGTTGGTTTGAAAGCAGAGAACAGTATCTGTCTGCAATATCATTTGAAGCCATTTAGAAAAACAAGTGAAAACATTTCTAACATACTTTCCTTTTTATTTTTTAACCTTTTTTATTTTTTGGTTTTTCAAGACAGGGTTTCTCTGTGGCTTTGGAGCCTGTCCTGGAAATAGCTCTTGCAGACCAGGTTGGTCTCGAACTCACAGAGCTCCGCCTGCCTCTGCCTCATGAGTGCTGGGATTAAAGGCGTGCGCCACCAACGCCCGGCTTACTTTCCTTTTTATAACAAAATGCTACAGTAGCTTCCCATTTACAGCACTATAGAAATCATTTCACAGTTAATCCCATTAATACTCTTAGTACTGCAAATAATATCTAATAGTGTTTTTAAGTTCGGAAGTCATACTCCAGACACTAGGAAAAATAAATAAACAGTGTATCAGAACTGCTGGCCACTGTCATTGTCCAGAGCAGTGTCTGGTATGTAATAGAACTCAATAAATTTTTGTTGAATGAATCAATGGGCTTTTCTTTTCAGGCCTGTATTGATGAAAATTTGGACATGGTGAAGTTTCTGGTGGAGAACAGAGCCAATGTAAACCAGCAAGACAACGAGGGCTGGACACCTCTTCATGCAGCAGCTTCCTGTGGTTATCTCAACATAGCAGAGTGAGTGAGCATCTGCTGTGGGTTTGGTGCAAACCCCACTACTTACCTGAGATTGAATTTTACAAATAGTTATCTCTCTAAATTACAAACACAGAAAATTGACTATTAAGAGCCAGCTGACACAGTGTTTTATATCCTCTATATATGCACAGTTCTTACCTACAATTTTGTTTGCTTCTGTTTTGTGTAATTCATATTTGCTGAATTATTCAGAGGCAGCATCAGCTTGGTACACTGGCTAATTTCTGAACAGCAGAACACATGCATGTGAGTTGTAGATTTTTTTGCCCCTTTGGACTTCTCTATAAAGCTGTCTTTTTTTTTTTAAATAAGTATTACTGCAGTAAATAGCAAATTATAAACTGGAACACATAGGATCAAGGCAAGGCATATGTTCTCCACATTGGCTGAATGGCTATGTTTAATATGTTAGTAGCTGCTGACCTCTGTGGGGGTAGATTGCCCTTTCTAGGGTAAAAGAATCCTGATCACATTGTACCTACTATATGAGAAGCACAAAATAAGTCTGGAATATATGAAAGAATGACCATGAATTTTATTTCTAGTTAGGAAAGAAACTTTGGCAGTTGAAACATCTTTAAAATTTCCAGGGCAAATTTAGATTGGTAAAGTAAATCTAATCAGGATAGTCTGTGGCCTTTTGAAAATCAGATTGATTAAGTCCTTTTCAATGATTCAGTTGGGGTTAGCACATTTTTTTTTCTTATTCAGCAAACAGTCATGTAGGGATCTGAGAACTACATTTCCTGGAGCATTGATGAATGGCTAGATTTCCTTTGAAGCATGGATTCTCAGTTGAAGAAGTATCAGAGCAGAGACACATGAGGCATCAGTGCAGGTGCTGGACATGGCTGCATCGGTCCCAAAGCCAAGACTACTGGATAGTAGAGTTTTCTTTGTTCTCCATCCCTCTTCCTGTTCTAAGTTAATAAAGATCTGTAGCCTCTTTGTCACCCAGGCTGCCACTAATTCTCAGTTGTACTCACCAATGTCAGTGTTCCCATGCATAGGAGTTAAGATGACTTCTTTGTCCATTTTGGACTTACAACATTTATTCAAGAAATGTAAGGCGTATCAGCTTCTCATTATCATACTTGAGTATGAGTTCAGGTGGAATGTTTGTAATTGAGCTACAAATCTCATTACATTCAAGAATTTAGTTTTTTACTCATTTTTTTCTTTCTAAATTATCTAAGGTTAGCTGAGTCTTAAAATTAGAATAGTAGGTAGTGTTATCTTTCTGGGACGCTAAATACAGAGAATTATTGTAATACCTTTTGTGATTTCTTTAACTCATTTTTAAGGACAAACACAGTTCCTTCAGAAATACATTTTTTTCCCCAAGTCAGGATTTCTCTGTATTGTTTTGGAGGCTGTCCTGAAACTTGCTTTGTAGACCAGGCTGGCCTCAAACTCACAGAGATCCGCTTACTTCTGCCTCCTGAGTGAGTGCTGGGATTAAAGGCATGTGCCACCAATGCCCAGCCAGAAATACATTTAAAAAAAAGATTTATTTATTTATTTGTTATGTATACAGCATTCTATCTGCATGTATGCTTGCACGCCAGAAGATTGCAACAGATCTCAGTATAGATAGTTGTGAGCCTCAGATCTTATTACAGATAGTTGTGAACCACCATGTGGTTGCTGGGAATTGAACTCAGGACCTCTGGAATAGCAGCCAGTGTTATTAACCTCTGAGCCATCTCTCTAGCCCCCCAGAAATAACTGTAAAATTAGAAATCTTTACTTAACCAAATAGTACCTTGAATGAAGTAAGTTTATCAGTGACTATCATAACTTATACATATGAATGTCTGACCACAGTGAGCTGATCCAGACTGCAATCCACTGTATATGTGGGATAGAGGTAGAGATGGCATGCATTAGTTTACCATGTAATATACACATTTAGAGCATTAGATAAGTTATTTTTATGTACACTGGTGTTTTTGCCATGGGTATAAGGCCCCCTGAAACTGGAGCTACAGGCAGTTGTGAGCTGCCATGTGGGTGCTGGGAATTGAACCTTAACGCCTGAACCATTTCTCCAGACCCCAGATAGGTTTTTACTTTACTCTCTTTATTTGTAATATTTTTATACAACAGATCAGGAAAATAACATGATTATTTAATTGGGGATTGGAACAGAGCGATGACTCAGCACTAAGGGTATTGGCTGCTCTTCCACAGGACCTGGGTTGGATCTGTAGCATTCATGTGGTCACCTACAACCCTCAATTAATTACAGTCCCAGGGGATCTGGCACCCTCTTCTGGGCTCCAAGGGCTGTGCACACATGTGGTGCACAGACATTCATTGGGACAAAGCACCCATACTCACAGCATAATAAAAAGTGTTTAAAAAATTAATTAGAGATGGGTATCACTGTGTAGCTCTGACTGACCATGGTCTCTACTAAGCCCAGGGAGCCCTTGAACACCAATCCTTCTGCCTCAGTAGCACAAGGTCTTGAGTCACACATGTCACAAGATGTCAAGACATCTTGTTTGGGATTTGAAGAACTTACACTTTAAACTTATTTCTACGATAATTGGCAACACTGGACTTAAAGGGAATGGGAATGAAGGACAGAGAGACTGGCTTTATTCAGGAGAAACCCATGACAATTCTATTTCATGTTCCTTGGTCATCCTTTCTGCCATGTATTTCTATTCCTGTGTGTGTGTGTGTGTGTGTTTGTGTGTGTGTGTGTGTGTGCGTGTGTGCGCGTGTGTGTGTGTGTGCGCATGCGTGTAGTTTATTATTTCCTCGGTTTGAGTTCAAGTAAATACTAGTTGGCTAGATTATTCCTAGTGGTGTTTAATTTATAAGCAGGAGATTGACCCAAACATTTAGCATGACTTATAGTTTATTGCAATGCTAACATATTTGAGCTTTTTAAAAAACACATTTATTTCTGTACTTTTTTCCTTAAAAGAACAGCAAAGGGAGCCATTGAAATGACTCAACAAGTAAAGGCACTTGCCATCAATTCTGAGCACCGGGTCTGTTTCTTGGAACTCATGTGGTGAAATGCAGACACTGATGCCTGCAAGTTATCATTTGACCTTCCTGTATGTTTCATGGCCTGCTCATGTGCACATACACATGAATACATTAATAAATAAATGTTAGGAAAGAATACCTTTTATCAATGCTCAGCTAGGCTTTTAAGGGACATATGTGGTGCTAACAGCAATTCTGAGGCTATAGGCAGTTAGCAGCTCCTCCTGTTTCCTGATGCTTAGTAGTTTATATGCTGATATTTACTCTTGTTCAGTACAAGTGCAGTGCTAAAGGTGTCTGTTTTTCTCCTATGAGCTGGGGAAATGTGGAAAAATGAAAAGCTTTATTTCTTGGTAGAAACCAGTTTTCTTTTTTTTAATTTTTTTTATATTTTATTTTCCAGTTTAAATTTAGATAAGAAATGAGGTTGCTTCACAAGTCAGTTCCAGGTCCCTCTCCCATTCCCTCCCCTCCTCCTGTGCCCTCCCCCCAACCCCCCCCTTTATCCTCTCATTCCCCCAGGGAGGGTGAGGCCCTCCATGGGGTTGTCCATAGTCTGTCATTTCATATAGGGCAGGGCCTAGACCCTTCCCCAAGAGTTCAGGGTGAGAGTGCACCTCACATTGTTCTATGGGAGTCCAAAGTCCATGTGTATACTTGGGATGGGTACTGATCTGCTGCCCAAGGCTCAATAGATTCCCTAGGCCTCCTCACTGACACCCAGATTCAGGGGGTCTTGATCAGTCCCATGCTGGATTCCCCGGCGGATACCTGGGATTCAAGAGTTAACCTTTGTCTGGTCAGCTGTTTCTGGGGGTTAAACCAGCCCAGTCTTAATCCCTTTGGTCATCAGTCCTCCCTCTCTGTTACTGGCTTTCTTGATCATTAGCACATGGAACAGATCAGAAAAGGGAGACTCGGTAGCCTATATAACCTATGTAACCTGACCCAGGAAGGGATGGATACATGTTAGAATGAAGACCTGGATATTTCATATAGTTTAAGCAATATTTATAGAATGCCAAGAAAAGAGACAAAGCAAGATACAGTGTCTGTTATGAAAGGAAGAGGTATATGTATTTAATGTTTACAGGGGCAGGAAGGTAGCATTAAAGGAAGGAGAGAGAGAATTCAGTTGGTGGGAACAGGTAAGATTCTTGAAGGCAAAAGAGTTTGAAATGAACCTTGAAAGATGTGAAAGGTTCTTGCCTCATTCCTCTTCTCTGAACAGATGGGGAACACGACGAGTGGTGGGGGGGAGTGGGAGCTGGGAAGAAGAGAGGAAGAGAGAGTAGGTCATGGGGGAACAGGAAGGTTGACTTGGGGGGGTAGAATAGGGGGAAGAGGGAATCATAGGTTAGAAGACAGATCAGGCACCAGAGTGCCTCTAGTGATCTAAAGGGATGACACCAATTGGCAAGCTAAGCAATAGTGGAGAGACCACCTCGAATGTCCATTCCTGATAATGAACTTGATGTCTATAACAATCCGGGAGCCTTCATCCAGTGACTGATGGAAGCAGAGGCAAACACACACAGTTAAGTACTGAACTGAACCGAAGAAACCCAGTGGCAGAGAGAGAGGAGTGATGAGCAAATTGGCGAAGAATGGGCTGGCAAAACCAGCAGAGACAGCTGATCTGAACAGGGGAGAGCTCTTGGACCCCAGACCGACAGCGGGGAGGCCAGCATGGGACTGATCTGGACCCCTGAATGTGAGTGTCAGTGAGAAGGCCTGGGCAACCTATAGGGCCCTGAGCAGTGGATCAGTGTTTATCCCTGGAATACAAACAGACATCGTGTGCCCATAGCACAAAGAGGGCTGCTGTCTCAGCCTGGACTCTTAGGGGAGTGCCTGGACCCTACCCTGAGTGAAATGACAGACTCTAGATATCCCCTATGTGGAAGGAATTGGCAATAGGGTGGGAGGCTGGGGGGGTTGGGGGGGTGCGGGAGGAGGGGAGGGAGAGAGAACTGGGATTGACATGTAAAACAAGCTATTTAAAATTAAAATAAAAAAAATTTTAAAAAAAGATGTGAAAGGTATTTACAAAGAGAAGGGAATTTGTTTCATTCACTTATAGAAAATAGCTCACCCTAAGGAGCAGAGCTGGGTGTGAAGGGGTTGGGGGTTGGGGGAACTAGTAAATGATTGGGTTTGGTTAGAGTATATATTTCAGTTCAACCAATATTTATTGTGTATAGTATTTGTATATTGTTTTTTTTTCAGGGTACAGGTGGTATGATTGAACGCTCATTTGGCTTGAGGGGAAGAAACCAAAAAAGAAAATAATTGCATACAATGGTGCCACTTGGTAGATTTAAAAATATGGATAGAAGGAATTAACTTTAGAGTTGTGTAAGGTGTCTTTCTCTGAATCTCTGAGGGAGAAAATGCCATTGAGCTGTATCTTAAAAAACCATAACCACAGCAACGCTTACACAGGAAGGCATTTAATTGGGGCTGGCTAACAGTTCAAAGGTTTAGTCCATTGTCATCAAGGCAGGAAGCGTGGCAGCATGCAGGCAGATGTGGAGAAGTAGCTGAGAGTTCTATGTCTGGATCTGCAGGCAGCAGGAAAAGAGAAAGACTCTAGGCTTGGCATGGGCTTTTGAAACCTCAACACACTTTCTCCAACAAGATCACACCTCCTAATCCTTTCAATTGTGTCACTTCCTGGTGACCAAGTATTCTATCTGTGAACTTATGCAGGCCATTCTTACTCAAACCACCACAGGGTGTATATATGTGGAGTTGCTATATCAACATTTATTAAGGCCCTATTATACTAGGATGCTAGCACTGAGAAATCAAAGTTATGCTTTTAATTTCATTTTTATTGAGTTCTTTTCTCCTTTACCAACTCAAATATATAGCCCATCCATATGTTGATTGTTTTTTAATCTAACCAACTAAAATGTGGTTCTTTGAATGTCATCATAGTAGATCAATAAATGTTGATTTAATTGTTGATTTTTATTGAATTGGAAGATAATTTGCATAATTTTTTAAGTACTTCTGAATGTCTGATAGTAGTCCTAGAATTATTGGGATTGATTATTTATTTTTGTTTTTTTTCAATACAGGGTTTCTCTGTGTTGCCTTGGCTGTCCTGGAACTCGCTCTGTAGACCAGGCTGGCCTTGAACTCACAGAGATCCTCTTGTCTCTGCCTCCCAAGTACTGGGATTAAAGGCATGTACCACCATTGCCTGGAGTATTATTGAGATTCTAATTAGCCTAAAACTAATTTGATTTAGACTGACATGAGAAAGACTGAGGCTAATGACTTTTGCCAGTACTAGTTGCATGTTTTTAAGAAAAATCACCTTTTTTTTTTTTTTTTGAGAAAATGACTTAACATGTTTGAATTTCTATTCTTTGAAAGCAGTGTTTTTTACACATAATTCGAACAGTGTTTTCACATGTAATTTGTGTATATGTGTATGCAATCAATGGTTTGCATATGAAAGTCAGAAGGCCACTTGTGGGAGTACATTCTCCCCTTCCACCATTCTGGGATTGAACTCAGGTGATTGGGCTTGTCCGCCAGTACCCTTCCCCATAGTTGGTGTTAAGAACCCCAGTTTCTTAAATTAAGGGATAAGAGTACTTAGTTGCATTTACATTGTCTTCTGCACAATTTTAAGACTGATTTGTGTGCATGTGAGACAGAGAGAGAGAGAGAGAGAGAGAGAGAAAGAAAAGGCACTTTGAAAATTAAAAGATATTGAGTTTATCAGCCCTTTTTTCTTCAGGATACATATGGATTCAGAATCTGTGTAGCACTTTAAATGTTTCTTTAGTAATTTAATTTCCTTTATGAGGTAGATTCATATAGATGGTTTGTTTTGTGAAAGTTAAATTCATGCAAACTCTAATACATACTTTATTCTTCAGTTTTCATACCTACAACACTAGTAAGCAAACTTCACCTTGAAACTGAAAATGAATTTTCATGAGAACTGCTTAATGTTCTTATTTCTAATATTGGATGTGTAATAAATCTTTTTAAAATTTCTTTGGATCCTAGGTTCCATGAGTGAGGGCTGCATGCTTTCCCTATTTTCCCTCACTAAGTCAGGTCTCACTAGTCTAGAATAGTCTGAAATCAGCATGTAGGCCAGGCTGACCTCTAACTTCAGCTCCTACTGCTTCAACATCCTGAGTTCTAGGATACAGGCTTGGCCAAATGCCCTACCCGACCATGCTACTTATAGTATTTAGAAATACTATATTCTAGTATTTCTAGAAGCAAAAGAATTGGTGTTAAGAATATGCATATATAATACATCTTTTTGACTTGGCTATGTAAGAAAAGTAAGTATGTAAATAAATATGAGTATGTAAGAAAACATTGCTCATGTTGGGAAACCTGTGGTCCTAATTATGGGAGGCTACTAGGGCATGAAACTAATAATAATGAACAACAAAACACTTTATCTATACCATGCTTAAAACCCCCAAATATGCCTTGCTGTACATTGAATTCAAGACACAGTACAAACTATATATGATTGACAGAGATAATATCGATTTTGCCACACAGGTATTTTATTAGCCATGGAGCCAGTGTGGGTATTGTGAACAGCGAGGGTGAAGTTCCTTCTGACCTTGCAGAAGAGCCAGCCATGAAAGACCTTCTTCTGGAACAAGTAAAGAAGCAAGGTAACCTAGGAGACTGGGTGGTTAGCAGAGGCTCTCACACTGCCCCTTAGGGAGCATAATCCTTCTTCCTTATCATGTGACAGGGCAGGATTAAGTCTGTCGGCCAGCATTCGTCATCAGTGCTCTTAATAACTCATACAAGCATAGGCCGAATGCCCAAAGGATGACCAGGCCTTCCTTGTCTTTGCTATTCTAAGGTTGTGTACTGGTCTAGGAGTTAGGAGTGACCCGAGGAAGACTGTGGACTGTTCTTTGTGTGTGTGCACATTCTATTCTATCTGTTGCACAGGATAACCTGAAGAAAGGCTGGAATCCAGTGTGACCAAATCCATTTTGTGACCTTGTGTCCTTTTCTTTGATAACTACAGGTGGTACAAGGAAGCTACTTATTAAAACCTATGAAAGGATCTTTGGCCATAGTAACTGTGGAAACTGTTCTGACAGTTTCTTTTGTTTGTATGTTTGTGTTTTGGAGAAAGAGTTTTACTTCATAGTCCCACATGCGTTAGAGCTTGCTCTGCAGTCTAGAGAGTGGTCCTCCACCTCTGCCTCCCTATGTTAGATTACAGATGTGAGCCCCTATACCTGGTTCTAGTAGTTTCTTGAAGTAAGAAACTTAACTTAGAATAATATATTATGAAATTGTATATTCTTATTTTGTAGTTTTAGAAGAAACTCATTTCAGGGCATAAGGTGGGGCTCTCCTATTAGACACTTCAAAGTCATTTTGTTTTTATACATAGAATTCCCCAGGCTGTCCATGGACAGATGCCTTAAATCTCATTTCTCCTCACCTGTATTATAGGCAAGCACCACACCTAGCTTTTGAATTTTTTTCAATTTAAAGTTATTGACTAACCATGGACAACAGGTCTTAGGTTTCTGTTCAAATTATCATGAAACTCTGGATGGGATCTGTAGCAATTGGAGATGGGGAAGCACTTCTAAATTACTGGAAGTTATTTCCAAAGCTTTAGTGTCCTTTCATGCTATGGTTCTTTAGAACAGTTAGGGCTAAGTCTGGCCGCACTTGCTTGTTTATTATCCAAAGCTGCTTTCATGCTGCATCAGCAGAGTTGAGTAGTAATGACAGACTGCAGGGCTGGCAAATCTGCAAGGAAACATTAAGTATCTCACCTTTTATAGGAGGTATGCTAAGCCTGCCTTAAGCAATGGATATTCCAGGTCATTCCAGGACCTATAACTACAGCCCTTATGTAATTTTGTGCCTTACTGAATTAAATTTTCCTCTCCTAAAAATACACTTTTAAAAAAGATTTATTTATTTTATGTGTATGAATGTTTTCTCTGCATGTACATCTGCACACCAGAAGAGGGCATTAGATTCCATAGGACCACAATTGTAGATGGTTGTGAGCCACCATGTGGGTGCTGAGACTTGAGTTCAGGACTTCTGGAAGAACAGCCAGTGCTCTTAACCACTGAGCCATTTTTCCAGCCCTCGTTTATATCCTAAAATATTTTACAGCTTACAAATTTAAAAGTAAGTTTTAGTTTGAGAACCCACTCTTTTTCTTTGGATTGCTGACTCTTCCTTCATGCTTTGTGGAAACCAGCATTTAACATGCGTGCTTCACTTTGCAGCCCTGGTAACTCTTACTGTGTCTAAATAGGCTTCTTCTTTACCCTGTGCATCTTCAGGGTGAAAAAGAACAGACAGTTCTTCAGCAGTTCCTTATTTAAGAGCCCAAAAGAAGACTGGAAGCACAGATAAAGTCTGCTTATGAGTATGGAACCTTTTGAATGGATGTGTTTGTAATTGGAGCATTCATTTTTTTATATACTGAGGAATGTCCTTTCTTAAGGCCCTTCTTTACTGGCCTAGATATTCAGATTGATGGATAAAGGGATGAACTCTTAGGAGTACCTCCATATGATTGTAAGGGAAACAAAATCTGCATTGCCTTAAAAGCAGATTCTAGTGTTGGCTTCAGATCACTTACTCATGGCTGAATTGCTCTGTGTAGCTTCAGGTAAGTATATACAGAAGTGCATATGGAAGTGAGCTTTAGGTGGAGTGCATTCTTCCATAGTATATCCTACCCGAAATGAAGACTTTTTTTTATTTTTTTTACGAGACAGGGTTTCTCTGTATTGTTTTGGAGGCTGCCTCGAACTCACAGAGATCTGCCTGCCTCTGCCTCCCGAGTGCTGGGATTAAAGGCGTGCGCCACCACCGCCCGGCTAAAAATGGAGACTTTTATTTGTTTATTTTTCGAGACAGGGTTTCTCTGTGGCTTTGGAGGCTGTCCTGGAACTAACTCTTGTAGACCAGGCTGGTCTCGAACTCACAAATAGCTGCCTGCCTCTGCCTCCCGAGTGCTGGGGTTAGAGGTGTGCGCCACCAACGCCTGTCAAAATGAAGGCTTTTGATAGTAAGCTTATGGTGTAGTGAGTGGAAAAGAAGAGAGCCAAGAGCATCAAGGAGTTCTAATGGCAGCTCTGCCACTGACGTTTTTGTGACCATACGCAGAGCATACAACATTTCTGTGTTTTTTGATTCATATGTACAATGAGGCTAGTAATAGCTATTATAGTTACTCCACAGATTGTTGGGAAACTAAGATCTTATAACATGTTAAAAAAACTTTGGCATTTATAGCTTTATACAAATCTTGCAAAGTAAAAATAATGTCCCATCTGATTTTATGTTCTGGTGAAAACAATGTTAGGTATGTTCCCTTCATACGTGTGCCTGGCTGTTTAGCATTGCTATTTTGTAATACAAATGGCATTGCTTTAAATTTAATAAGTTACCAGTTTGATGCAGAAACTGTTATTTGTGATACTGTCTGTATGTTTTGAATGTAAAGGAAGTGCCCTGTTGGACACAGGTGCAGCTTTAGTAAAACTGCCGTCTTGTGTCTGGTTCTGTAGGAGTTGACCTAGAGCAGTCAAGAAGGGAGGAAGAACAGCAGATGTTGCAGGATGCCCGCCAGTGGCTCAACAGCGGGAAGATAGAAGATGTGAGACAGGCTCGTTCAGGGGCCACAGCCCTGCATGTAGCTGCTGCCAAGGGTTACTCTGAAGTCCTCAGGTATGGAACTGGGTATACTGGTTTTAGGAGTTGAAGTTCTTATCTTTTTAATTGTGGTGTATTTTTGTTGTTGGTTTTCACTTGCCTTGCAAATTTTCCTTGTATTTTGCTGGCATCCTTCATGGGTGCTCTCCCTTCCTCTGACAGTCCCTCTTCCTCAGGTACATGGGTTAGACAGACTCGAGGCACAGCGGCATGGGAAAACATCTCTCCTCTGTGATTCAGACCTGTGACCCTTCCAGTTCTATCATCTAGACAATTTTTGGGCACATTAGATCAATTATAGAACACACACACACACACACACACACACACACACACACACACACGCACACACACACCCTACCTCCGTGGGTAAAAACATCTGCTGCCAAACCTGTTGACCTAAATTCAATCCTCTACTTGGTAGAAACAGAGGACCGATTCTTCCAAATTGTCCTCTGACCTCCACTTGAGCTCAGTGGCATGTATGTACCCCTCAAACACACTCACTTGCACATCAAATGATTTAATTTTAAAATATAATTTTAAAAAGCAAGAGAAGAGAGGTAGACTCTACTATTTTACTTGTTTCACTTTTCTTATAGTCATGCTCTATGTGGCTCTTGGTGATTAGTGTTGACGAGAGTTCCAGAATATAGGGGTGCTAATGTCACTATATGTACAGTTGTTGCTAGGCTCTTCCAGTGTTCATGTTCTACCTAATAAGGTCTTTCTAGTAGGTATGGTAGTGTGTTGGTGCTTTTTCTATTTCTGCCTCAACATGGTAGTCATATGCTGCTCAATTTTTGAAAGGATGGTATGGTATAATTTAGATTTTAGAAATTGTATTTTTCTCCTTGCATAACATAGATTCAAGTTAGACTGTAGCTTTATGGTTAGCTAGATCTCTCTGTGGGTATTTTTAGAATTGGAGGTATGGCATTCTACAGAAAACAGTCATGACCTAAAAATGTCACCTACAAAGCTCATTGGTAAAGCATCCTAGAGATATTGAGTCTTCATTTCAAATGTTAATTTCTTTCTGAACTGGAAAATACAAAGTACACCCTGTAATAGAGTTGTGTGACTTGCTTTAGTTAATCTTAGGTGCAAACTGCTCTATGTATTCCTCTTGTATGGTGTATGTACCAGTTGTTTTCTGTTGCTTTAACAAACACCATGAATAATGTCACTGAGGTAAGGAAAGCAGGAGCAGAGGCAGGAGGCAATTTGCTTACTGACTTGCTTTCTCTAGCTTGCTCAGCTACTTTGCTTACATGGTTCAGGCCCACCTGCCTAGAGGTGGCACTGCCCACAGTGGGCTGGGCTCTCCCCCATAGCTAACAATTAAGAAAATGCCCCATATACATGTCAGTCTGATAGAGGCAATTCTTGAGTTGAGGTTCTTTCTTCCTAGGTAATCCACGTTTATGTCAAGTGGGCAAAAACTAACCAGCAAGGTGTAACGTGGCTCTGTGGAGGGAATGCCACGTGCATAATCTTATGGAGAGGTGCAGTAACAATTGTAATTGGTGCGCAAAGCAGTAATATGAACTGCAGGCTATTTCTTAGAGGATTGAAGGAATCACAGGATGTCTGAAGGTTATCCTGCAACTGAGTTATTAGCTTATTTAATAGAAAACTATAAAACCAAGGACATAAATGTACTTTTTGGGTTTCCTTTCTTCTAGACTTTTAATTCAGGCTGGCTATGAACTCAATGTTCAGGATCACGATGGCTGGACTCCTCTTCATGCTGCTGCACACTGGGGAGTGAAAGAGGCTTGTTCCATCCTGGCAGAAGCACTCTGTGACATGGATATCCGGAACAAACTGGTTAGTGAGCCTGAACCTCTAAAAGGGTAATGAGATCGGGTGGCTGCGTGCCTGGCATAGGCTTAAAGTCTTTGTTCAATATCCAGTTGACTATTCTGGGAGATGTGTTGTCCTCTGCCTCCTTGCCTTGCTGCTTATTATCAGTATAATAAGAAGTACATTTGCTAGATAAAATAAAATCCACCAAACATGTCATCTGTTTCTACTTGTGCTGAAGCCCCTAAATCAAAAGTAAATGAAAAAAGATGTCTGCTCTTGACAACAAATGAACTTTGAGAAACCTAATATCCTGTCTAAGGTGAGATATGAAATATTTTACTATTTTCTCAACTTGAAGTCTTTTAATAGCTGAGCTCTCTGTATATGGAGTCATTCAAGAACATATGTAATGGCAAAGATCATTCTGTTTTGACTGAAAGCACTCTTATCAGTCTCACTTCAAACAGACTTTAGACTGTGTATGCATATAGTCTAAAATCCAAAGCACTTCTGCTCCTAAGCATTTTGGATAAAGGAGATTCCGCTTGTATCATAGGACTAAAAGGCAGTAACTAAATAGGGTATAGTCCCTGGTGAAGTCACATTATTGATTGCTGCTTCTGTTTTATATCTGTCATGGTGCTCCTTTGTCCTGCTAGGGCCAGACACCATTTGATGTGGCTGATGAAGGTCTTGTGGAGCACTTGGAGATGCTTCAGAAGAAGCAAAATGTGGTAAGTCTGGTTGATGCTTTCAAAGCTTTCCTAGCAATTTATAGTTTACTCTGGGTGTCTTAGTCTCTTACTTCAGTGTCATTGGTTCAGGGTTGAACTGGATGTATCTGCATTTCACAGATGTTATTTGTTCCCTTCAGAGATTATCAATAGTCTGCTTGAAGAAATTGCTTTTGTAAAGAGCAACTTATCATGAAATAGCATACAGGCAGCTAAAAGTCAAAAACAGAGAGGAATGCATTTCTCTCTTTGTTTTCTTTGCTGAGTATTTAGGATTAATTTAAGTGATAGGACAGTCTAAATTTCATGTTAACACTACTATTAGCAGCAGCAGCCTTTGGTAGGCTAGAGCTCTGTTTTGCATAGTTAAGTTTTTATATTATTGTAAAATCTTCTTCTCTAAAGTAATTTAGATTAGCCAGTGTTAGTGGTGCACACCTTTAATCCCAGCACTCGAGGCAGAGGCAGGAGCATCTCTGTGAGTAAGAAGCCAGCCTGGTCTACGGAGCAAGTTCCAGAACAGGCTCCAAAGCAATACAGAGAAACCCTGTCTCGAAAAACTTAAAAAAAAAAAAAAGTAATTTAGACTCCCATAAAAATTACCTAAATTGCTAAATTGGATTGCTTGATTTGTTCAAATATGTCCTCAGCATTCCTGGCCTTGAATGTTTGTGTTTTTTAATTCATTTCAAACCATCATAAATACTCATTGGGTGTGTTCTTTTAGAAAGTGTAGGGTCTAGAGGAGTGAAGTGCTTTTCTGATACAGAAAGTTAGGGGCCTGTATTGATATCTTTTATACTGTAGTGATGAGTACCTGAGAGGAACTATGTAAGGGAGGGGACTTTATTTTTGGCCCATGATTTCAGTCCACGTCGTTTAATTAGCATAATTAGGTTTTGGGCATAAATGGTATCTTCCCCCAACCATTTGAATTTACTTTTTGGTCCAGGCTAGTCTGAGTTTACAATCCTTTTGCCTCAGCCTCCCTAGTAACTGGTGTGATAGGAAGGATTGTATACCCAGACCCAACCTCACCACATATTCTTACTGTACTAAAGGGGTTGGTGTTTCTCTTTGTGCTCTGTAAAACTTTAGGCTCCAAGGACATAAATATATTTTGCCTAGAGTGTTGGTACTTAACCACCCTAATGCTGCAACTCTTTAATACAGTTTCTAATGTTGTGGTGATCCCCAGCCATAAAATTATTTCATTGCTACTTCATAACTGCAATTTTGCTACTGTTATAACATAAATGTGGCCCCAGGGACTCATGATAGGTTGAGAACTGCAGGTATAGAATACACATCTAAATAGTAGACCAATTCTAGTAGTATATATCTAATAAAAGAAACAATAACTTATTTCCCATAAAGTATCTGCCCGTGATTTTGTTAGAATTGTTGAGAACATGTTTTGGTATATGGATCATAAAATTCTTCCCAGGTTCCTTTTGTCTCTTTATCCTTTAGAAGCTAGGCTTTTTATTTTATTTTTCCCATTAAGGTTTGATTAGGGATTTTGAAGGGACAATTTTCTTGAATCTCCAGGACCATGGTTTCACTTCTACTTTTGGGTAAAGATTTTCCTCTGTTACTTTCTTCCAAGGAAATATGGTACAAAGTGATGATGTGTTTGTGTTTTTCCTGTTCTTTGGGTTTTTGGGACAGAGTGTCTTTGTATAGCTTTGGCTGTCCTGGAACTCACGCTGTAGACCAGGCTGGCCTCAAATTCATAGATCTGCGTCTCTCTGCCTTCCAAGTGCTGGAATTAAAGGCATGCCACTTAGTATGTTTGTCTTTTTTCTTTTTTCTTTTCTTTTTTTTTTTTTTGGATTCCCTTCTCCCTCTTTGAGTTTGTCCTGTTTTTAATTTTTTTTTCCCCAGAATGATGGTACCATTCTGGCACTTCTCAATACTGTTGATTTTTCACAAATAGTCAACTTCTTTTCTCTCTGTTTTCTCAATTTCCAGCTTCGAAGTGAAAAGGAGACACGTAATAAGCTCATTGAGTCAGACCTAAATAGCAAGTTTCAGAGTGGACTCTTCAAGAAGTAAGATACAAGCTTACTTGTCTGTAAGGACTGAGATGCGCTTGGTGTTCTGTGTGTGTGATACTTGAGAATTTTTATATTAAAATGATTCTGCATTTGATTTCAGTCAGATCTTCAGATGTGAAAGTGTTTTGGGGTAGAGGAGATGACACTGATATGGGGAGGCACTGAGAGTAATCAATGTGCTCTACACTGAGAGATTGTATTGGCAACGTCTCTTTTAGCCTAGCCTGGAGGTTCTTAGTCCTGCCCTCTCCTCTTCTTATATGGAGTGTTTCCTCAGCTCAGGAATTTGTCCCTTTGTTTACCACTGTTTCAGTATCTAGCAAGATTTCTGGGATGTAATAAAACTCAGAAAGTTTTGTTTGATGACTTTTAAAAATATTTATCTGCCCCATTACCATCTCATCCTTGTAATTCATGGTTCTCTTTTATCTGTTTGTTGAAAAGACAAAACCTCCTTGAGTCATATTTTAAAGTCAATAATAAACCTTAGACTGTTGAAAAGCCAAAGATCCAAGAAAATACATAGGTAGAAGAAGGATTTCCATGTTTTTACTGTTGCTTCTACATACAGATTTATAGATTTGTTCCCTTTATTATACCTGGTTGTCAGTGAACTTAAATGGTTTGTCATTTCTGCTTTCAAATTAATTTAGTAAAGAGAAGATGCTTTATGAGGAAGAGAGCCCTAAATCCCAAGAAACAGAGGAAGAAGACAAAAACTCCAGCAGCTCCAGCTCAGAGGAAGAGGAAGGTGAAGATGAAGTTTCTGAATCAGAAACAGAGAAGGAGGCAGGTAATGCAAAAGCCCTTCACATCCATTGCCCCCCAGAGGCTGGTCAGGTCTCCCAGGCTTCCAGAAAGAGCTTTAAAGTACAGTTCCCAGAGATTGAATTGCTTATGGCAATATGCTTGTAAACGCCTGTTAAAATGTCCCTGCCAGTTCTGATGCAGCCATATGGTGAGGTCTATTAGAGAAATCTTGCGTGAGATAGCCAGTTGTCCTGCCCGTAGATTGATAGGTCAGCCATAGAGTCCAGGAAGTCAGTATGCTGAGAGGCGTAGGGCTTATAGAGACTTTAGGTCAAATGTTTTCAACACACTGGTAAAAAATTGCATTTATTTATTATGATATTCTAATTCTCAAAACTGAATCCTAATTTTTTTATTTTGTAAACTTTAGCTTCTGATTGAAGGAATTAGTAAAAGAACAAATCAGGCTTACTTTTACTACTTTTATTAATAATATATAGATTTATCTTCAGAGTCATGGGAAACTGGCTCATGAGATAACGAAAATCTTTAATGTACAAGTCTTATATATGTTGGCACAGTGTTTGCATAGAAATTGTGTGCACCTGCCTGTATACTTCAAACCATCTCTCAGCTGCTTATATTACATGCTACAGTGTAAATAACAACTATACTATGTTGCTCAGGGAATGGTGAAAATATAAGGACACAAACCTGGAAAAAAAAGAAAAAACAACAACAAAAAAACCCTGTATATATTTAGCACAAATGCAATATCATAGTTTTGTTTCCAGATTAATTTTAGTTTGTTGTAAGTTGAAGGATTGAGGTTGAATAGCAATGTTTGACTTTGCTGATAGTTTCTCTCCATCATGGGAGAATACTGTTCTTCTTCATGTCTTAATCTGAGGTTCATTGACTGTCACCAAAGAAAGTTAGGTGCCATTAGTTTTATAGAGAAGGCAGGCATCAGCTAAGTTTTCAGTAAAGGGGAATTGACTTTATATTCATGGAGCCTTGGATTTCCTTTAAATTATCTTATTATTTTTATGTATATGGGTGTTTTGCCTGCTTCTCTGTGTACCACATGCATGTAGTACTTGTGGAGGCAAGAAAACAACATCAGATCCCTGGAACTAGAGTTACAGATGGTTGTAGGTGCCATGCCTACTTCCTTATAGAATCCAGGACCACCAGCCCAGTGATGGCACCACCTACAGTAGACTGGGTCCCCCCCCCCATTAATCACCAATTAAGAAAATGTACAACAATCTTGCTTATATCTTGATTTTATGGATCTCTCTGTCTCTGTCTCTCCCTTCCTACCCCCCCATACATGTAGCCTTGGCTGTCCAGGAACTCGCTCTGTAGTCCAGGCTGGCTTAGAACTCACAGAGATCCACTTGCCTCCGCCTCTTGAGTGCTGAGATAAAAGTGTGTGCTGGAGGCATTTTCTTAATTGGCTGGAGGCATTTTATTAATTGAGGTTCCCTCTTCTTAAATGACTTTAGTTTGTGTCAAGTTTATATAAAACTATCCAGTACACAGACCATGTCTATATTGCTATTAGAGTAAAATATTGACAATACCCTATGATCAAAGTATACTTCTGTTTAGAAACCTTCTATGGCCATCACCCTCCTTCCGTCTTTGTCTGCAGAGTAAGTTCCAAACCCTGTAGCCTAGCCTTCAAGGCTTCAGAAAGTCTAGCTCCAACAGACATTTTCAGTGCCCTACATAGACAAGAACATATTGCAGCCAAATTGAATTACTTGATTTCCTCAAATATGACCATAGCATTCCTGGCCTTGTATGCTTATTTGTGCCTTTGAATTCATGTAAAACTATCATAAATATTCATTGGGTGGTTTCTTTTAGAAAGTGTAGGGTCTAGAAGAGTGAAGTGTTTTTCTGATACAGAAAATTAGAACAGTTGGGGCCTGTATTAATATCTTTCATATTGTAATGATTTGTACATAAGAGAAACTATGTTAAGTGGGGAGGGGGTGGATTTATTTTTGACTCGTGGTTTCAGGGATTTAAGTACATGGTCAGTTGGCTCTATGCTTCAGGGCCTGTGTGTGGTTAAGTAGAATATCATGGTGTCAGACAGGTGTGGTAGAGCAGAGATGCTCACATTGTAACAGTCGGGAAGTAGAGACAGAAAAGGGTCAGAATCAGATACTCCCTCCTGTTTTTACGTATGCTGCACAGTGGCCACACCGGATCCTACCACTGCCTCAGCTGCTGACTGCATCTCCAGAGCTGCCTTCCCAATAAGGTCAGGGGAGCCTTTGCATCTAGCCACTGCTTCAGCCGTGTCCCTTTAGGGACACAAATATTGTTCTAATTAAGTCTTTATCCTTTTATTTTACCAATAAGGACTCTCCTGGAGCCAAATGCTAGGGAAAAAACCTGCTACTCAGAGAGGGAGAGAAAGGAGCAAGGCCACCTTACTCCTCAGCCATCATTTCAGAAAGAGAGCCTCTCCTCCCCTGTGTGAAAACAACTCCTCCACCCAGATGTTTCTCCCTTCTCCTTCCTGTGCCTCCCTTTCCCTGACCTCACACTCTATGGTTACTTTCAGTCACTGGTTGCTTGCTCCTCTCTGCCTATGGTTGATTTTATCCAATTAACATAATCTCGGGGTTCATAGTATGATCAAATAAACCACAACTACTCCTAGTGACCTGCTTACCTTCTACCTTCTCCAAATTATGAGTTTGTCAATGCATTATCCATCAGTGAAGCCAGAGCCCCTATGATCCAGTCACCTCTCAGTGAGTATAGACACTAACTAGGGACTAAGTATTCAGTACTTGAGCCTAACCCTGTGATCCTGTCAACTTGATGGGTTCTAGAATCACCTTTGGAGACAAATTTCTGGTTGTGCCCGTGAAGGACTTTCTAGATTCGATCATAATTGAGGTGGGAAGATGCCATATAAATTTGGCTGGCACTATGCAGTAAATTGGGCCCACAGGCTACATTAAAGAAAGAGAGAAAGAAGCCTGCGTTGTGGCGCACACCTTTAATCCCAGCACTTGGGAGGTAGAGGCAGGCAGATCTCTGTGAGTTTGAGGCCAGCATGGTCTACAGAGCAAGATCCAGGACAGCCTCTAAAACAATACAGAGAAACCCTGTCTCGGAAAAAAAAAAAAAAGAAAAGAAAAAAGAAAGGAAGGAAGGAAGGAAGGAAGGAAGGAAGGAAGGTAGGTAGTCAGCTGAGCACAAGCATTTGTCTGACCGTGGACATGATGTGACCAGCCACTTCTACTCCTGATTATACCTCTCCTTCCATAATAGACTATATATCCTGGAACTATAAGCTGCAACCCCTTCCTTAAGTTGCTTTTGTTAGGTCTTTTTTATAAGATAGCAACTAATACAAGTTCCTTTCTGTGTTTTCCTACCCTGTGCTTTTCACTTAATTTCTGTCCCTATGGCACCATGCTCTTACTTCTGTTCTAGTACTTCCCAGTTTTCCTGAGAATACTGAGTTTATTATTATACTCGAGATTTCAGCATACAATAGCCATTCATATTCATTAAGTGATTTTGTTGACTATACCTAATAGGAGAATAGAAGTCATTATATAAATAAAATACATGTCATGTGAGAAAGGTAAATGCAATAAGTGGTATTCATCAGTGGGAAAGATTATGACTCATTCTGGGAATTATAATACAACTCTACATCTCTATAGTGCTTTTTACTTTGCAATACACTTAAACAATTTTTATTTAATCCCCACAACCATTCTTTATGGCATGTATTATTATCACTCTTTTTTTAGAATGAGATATTGACACTGTTTGGCATATGTGAACTAGGTTTCATAGCTAACTAGTGGCACTGTTTGTTCACTGGGTATATAACTCCTCAAAGTAGGAGGGGACAGTGGAAATTCTCTGTATAAGAAATAAAACGTGAAAACTGTAGAAAAGAGGAGCTGGAGAGATAACTTAGCTGTTAAGAGCATTTGCTGCTCATGCAGAAGACCCAAATTCAGTTCCCAGTACTCATGGCAACAGCTCACAACTGTTTGTAACTCCAGTTTCAGGGGATCTGATGCCCTCTTCTAATTTGGTGGGCACTAGGCAGGCATCTGGTACACATACGCATGCAGGCCAAACACACATATAAAAATGATAGTAGTTAACTGTTGAGTGAAGCCTTTTCCTTGCCAGCCGCTTTGGTTTTTCCCCACCAGTCGCCTGGGCTCTGCCACATTGTAGTCCCCAAATAATACACAAGACGCTGTATTAATTATGAAGCTGTTGGCCTTGCTTGTTTCTTACTGGCTAGCTCTGACTTAAGCATTTACCCCATAATTGTTAATCTAAGTATTTCTCTTACCGGAGAAAAGGGTCTGGACTTCTTACCCCTATGGCAGCTACATGATGACTCCCTGTGTTTCTCCTACCCAGAGTCCTTCTCGACTCCTAGTCCCACCTGTCTTGCTTCCCTGTTGGCCAACAGTGCTTTATTGACATATACACAGGACTTCCCCATCAGTTAACTTTTTAAAAACTGTAGAGAAGTATGAGGTTCCCAAAGATTATAGAAAAAGGGAGATATGAAAAAGAATCTCAGGGCATTCGGTGTTGAGAAATTGAGGTGATGTTAGTGAAGTAAGCAAAGATATGACCAACAGGTTGAGAAAAACCAGGATGTGTATTTCTGCCTCAGAGAAGCCAGCGGGGAAGCAGTAGTGTGATGGGAGCCTGCAGGCATGATACAGCAATGAGGGAGTCACCAGTAATCCTAGACAGCAGTTTCAGTAGCCTGGTGTGGGCAGAAGCCAGATGGTTCTAGCAAACTTCCCTACTCATTTCTCTAGTTCTTTGCCAACTTAAATTTTACTCATGTCTTAGAGCTCAACTCAAATCAACGTCTGTTATCTTACCATGTAGATACATGGGTTTCTTTCCTTTGTTGATTTTAGTAGCTATTTGTTTGGAACTCCTTTATATTAATTTTCTCATTGCTACTTAATATTTGAACTATTTCTGTTTTTTCTCACCCTTTCTGTTGGTCCAATGGACAAGCTTTGGATGCATTTGAATATCCTTATGTGTTTTCTCCATCTTTCTGTGTGCCATATTGGCCTTCTGTGTGTAGGTGTTTGTTGTGGGATCCGCCTGGGTCCCGTTGCCACTTTAGCCCCCAAATAATACACAAGATACTATATAATTATGAAGCTATTGGCCGTTTGCTTGGTTTCTTATTGGCTAGCTCTGGCTTAATTATTAACCCATAATTACTAATGCGTATTTCTATAAGGACTTATCTTTCCGAGGATGGCATTCTGACCCATCCTTTCCTCCCGGGATATCCCATTGCAACAACCTCTTCACTATATTTCCCAGAATCCTCCTAGGCTCTTCGTCCCACCTATCTTGCTTCCCTATTGGCCACCAGTGCTTTATTTACATATACACAGAAGGACTTCCCCTATCAGGTGTTCATTAAACATGCTAGTAGAGTGCATGGAAGTGGGTCTTCCCTAAACCTTTCCAGATGTTGCATAACACATGAGTGGACAAGTTGAATGTTGAATGATTATAAAGATTTCTAGATGCAATCTCATAGAAATTATAGTTTTCATATGTCTTATACATTGATATTATATTAAAAATATAAATTATAGTTTGAGGTAAATATAAGCATTTTGATTAGAATTTCTGTTTTCTCTTTTTTTTGTCTGATGTAAGTATTTTATATATCAATTCTCTATTACTTCATAATAAACTACCTCCAAACGTAATGGCTTGAAACAGGAACTCTGCTAGGGTATGGCTTAGTTGGCAGAGTGCTTGCCTAGCTTGTGCATGGCCTTGGATTAGGTCCCCAGCATTGCTGCACACTCTTGTCATTTTAGCAATTGGAAGGAAAAGCAGGAGGATTAGAGATTCAAGGTCACCCTCAGCTACATATCTAGTTTGTTATCACACTGAGCTACATTAAGATTCTGTCTCAGTGGGCGAAAAGGAAGCTAAGAAAGCAAAGGCTCTTAATGTAAACTCTATTCTATGGCTTGGCAATTGGGGAATGGATCAGGTAGATAGCTTGTCTCTTCTTTAAGGCAATGATGTGTTTATTCATGTTTGTACCTTCAACTAGTAAGGTGTATGGAGGAATAGTTGGTCCTAGATAGCATTGCTCATGCTTCTGGTGGTTGGCTGTGATAGTTGGGACAAGTGATCTCCTGTCATTTAGCAGGCCTGCTCCTATTTCCTCATGTGGCAGCTGAATTCTGAAATTAGTTAGGAGGGCAAGGCTGAGTTGTCTCAGTTGCTGATGTTTCAGAGGCCATTGCAGGCAACCTGGTCAAGCTCAGAGTTGATGTGAAAAAGGCTTTACATGAGGCCACGGGTTCGGGGAGTCAAGATGCATTGGCAGCCAGTACTGTAATAGTCTATTTCGTTTGGTTTATGAGCTAGATTTCTTGGAGCTTAGATATATTTAGTACTTAAAGAATGCCTTGGTCATTATAATACCTGCAAAATGATAACATTAAAAACATAAACATAAAGAGGCTTACTATAGCCAAGGAGTTATGCAGTTTAAAAGCACTATTTCTAATCTTCATAAACATTCTCTCAAGGCAAAAATTAAAATCTCTGGTTAGGGTTTGGAGAGATGACTCAGTTGTTAGGAGCACTGGCTGCTCTTCCAGAGTACCTGAGTTCAATTCCCAGCAAATAAATAACCATCTATAGTGGGATCTGATGCCCTCTTCTGGCATACAGGTATACATGTAGAGCACACCTCCGTAAAAAATTATAAACTAAATTTTTAAAAATCTCCAGTTAATTAGAAAATAGAGCTTCAAATATGATATGTCTCTTAGTATCACAAAATTAGGCGTAGCTTATAATTATCACAGGATCCATGAAATTTACTCTGGATCTGGTTTTAGAGTATAAATGCCAGAATCATAGTCACCCGGGACAGGCATTGTGTTAGTTATTAATTGATATACAGCCATATGTAAGGCAGATAGCTTTCTGATTGATGACCCTGCTAGGCCGGACCACCCCTAGTTATGTGATACCAGTTAGTAAAGTTCTGAAACTTAATCGACAGTCTTTGAAATTCTTTCTACTGTTAAGTCCTATTGTAACCCCAGGGATTACACATAATTAACTTAGGCCAGCCACTTAGTAACCAACAAATGTGTGATTGTGATCACCGAAACATCACACCTCCTCCACCTGGCCATCAGTTTATCTTTCAGCTTTCTTTGGAGCTTTTAGAGAACGTTGACTGATTGTATCAACTTTCTTATTTTATTCCTCAGAGGTTCTGCTCGTTTTTAAAATCTCCAGCACCTGTTGAAATGAATCAACCATATGATTTTGTGTTTTTATTATTCCCTTTTTATTGTAATTACCTAGAGAGCAAAGTCTGTTGTAGGCATTTTCTGTTTTCATTTCCCAGCCAACTTCCCTACAGAACTGAACAGATTCTTTATAATGATGAATTTTACATACAATACACACACACACTCACTCACTCATACTCTAATGTAGAGACATTTTTATCAGAAGTTGGAGCCTACCAAGATAATGGGTATCCTTGAGTTTATTTTCTTCTACCCACAGTTGCTAGAGTTTGTTCAATTGTGAGTCCAGTCCTAATAATCTGCTTTGATAATGACAAGACACTTTTTTGTTAGTAGAAAGGGATCTATATACACAAAGATTAATATTTTCGTATTTATATTTTTGCTTCTCTCGTCTTAAATAACAGATAAAAAGCCAGAAGCTACTGTCAACCATTCGAACTCTGAAAGCAAGAGTCGTATCATGGAGCAGATCCCAGCCCCAGCTCAGAACACCTTCTCTGCCTCTTCTGCTAGGAGAGTGAGTACTTTGGAATTGATCTGAGGTTATATTTCATTCTACTATAGTACCATAACACTTACAAAGGCCTCAGAGACGTATTCTTGCAAAGCAGTAGAAGTACGTTCTTGCCTCTGTTAGACTCTTACACTAAAATACCATAAACTGTGACTTAAAAAATAAAAATTTGCCTTTTTCAGTTGTGGAGACTGAAGAGTTCCCAGAACAATGTGCTAGCCAATCCAGTTCCTCATATAAGGATTGTCTTTTGTCTTAGTGATGCCTCCTTCTCGCTGTATCTTAACATGCAGAAAGAGCACTGACTGGTGTCCCTCTCTTAGAAGGGCACCAACCCTACACTGTTGACCATATTCTACCATTGTCTCTTCCTCAGAGGCCCAGTGTCCAGATGTAATCGCCATGGTTGAGGCTTCAACATGAGTTTTGGAGGGATACAAAATCCTGTCCATAGCATTGCTCCTAAGTCCTTGAAAAACCAATACCAAAAAAACATGGCTACAAATGTATTACAGTTACAGGAAGTATTCTAAGACCAGAAAGATTCTGTGTGTTTTAACTGTTTCCCTCATATTGAAAATGAAGAAAACTGTATACAAAGTAGACTGGTAGGAAGATACCCAGCATCCAGAATTGTTTTGGTGACAATTGTTTCTGTTTCTCATGAAAGTTTAGTCTCTAAGGTTGTTGCCCTATATGACGGGCAAGGATGAGAGAAGAAGGACTTGTGGACATGCCACAAACTGTCCCGCAACAACCTTATGTGGGCCTCTCAGAAGCTGCAGGCTTCTGGCACAGGGACAAAGTTGGTCTGAGATGTTTGGATGGGCAATTGGGAAAGCTCTCTGGCCTTAGAGATTTTAATTGGCCACCTTAGGGAAAATAAGGAAAAGTCTAGCCAGGCCTTATTTATTTTTAGAGGCATCATTGTAAATCATTAGCCAGGCTTAGATAGAGTGCCATCCTTGCTCCTTATTCAGTCATTATACTGGCACTGCTTCTAGATGTGACTGCACATCTCACTTTTTATAAAAGAAGAATACCAACCTAAGAAATACAAATACTTCTCTTTGTGTATATTTAGATGATTGGTAATAAGAGAAAATCTGAGTGGAAGGTGGTTGGAGATGAGTGATTTTTACTCTAAAGGTCCCTAGACACTAGGAAAGGAACTGCTGCCTGGCATCTGAAAGACGTTGTACCTTAAAGACCTTAATCTGGTTTCTGGGCCAATGCTAGCCTGTGATGTTTCCTTGCTTAATTTTTTGTGTGCACTAGGAACTGAACTTTGTATGTATATGCTGTGTCACTGAACAGTATCTCCAACCTGTTTCTCTGCTTTATAAAATGATAATGCAGAATTGTCCATGAAGTGTTGTTGTTTGTCTTTAGTACTGATGCTAGAACCTAGGGTCTTGAACATGCTAGTCAAGCATAGTGCCACTGAGCTGTATCCTGCTGGAAATTTTCTTTTCCTTTTCTGTGGTTTTGCAATGGGTCTTAAGTAACTATAGGCCATGCTGGCCTCAAACTTACTGTGTAGCTGAGTATGATCTTGATCTACCTACTTCTACTTTCTAAATGCTGGAATTTACAAGCATGTGTCACCATACCCAACGGAAGCTTCCTTTTTTGATATTCAAAATTCTTTTAAATGCAATTGTGGTGATGGTGAGCTATTGGTTTCTTTGAAAGGTGTTCTGTTTAGGTAGAATAAGAAAGATGGTGACTTTCTCATTTCAAAAATATTTATCTTTTTAAATTTCTTGTCCAATAAAATGTCAAACTCTTTGACATTATCTTCTTAATATTAGAGTTAGAATTTTGAGGAGTTATCATCAGTAGTAACTTAAAATTAACTTACCATGAGAGACCTTGGGACACTCAGCCCTAAACGAGATGTCTCCATCAAATCCCTTCCCTCAGGGCTCAGGGAACCCTGTGGAAGAGGAAGCAGAAACAGTATTAGAACCAGAAGGGGTGGAGGACACCAAGGAAACAAGGTCCTCTACATCAACATGAACAAAGTTCATGTGAACTCAAGAGACCGAGGCAGCACGCACAGGGCCTGCATTGGTCTGAGCTGGGTCCTTTGTGTATATTATGCCAGTTTAGTGTTTCCATGGAATTCCTGAGTGTGCAAATGAGTGGGTCTCTGTTTCTTGTGACTTCTCTTGGTTCTCTTCTTTCTTTCTTTTTTTCTTTTTTTGTTGTCCAATTCTGATATGTTAGTTTTTGTTTTATTATATTTATTATTTTCCATTTACTAATGACAGATAAAATGGGAAGGGATCCAGATGGGAGCAGAGGCCAGAAAGAACTACTAGAAGCAGAAGGAAGGGAAATTGTAACCAGGTTATGTTATATGAGAGAAAAAAAATATTTCAATAAAAGAATATAATTAGCTTATTACACGGAAGAACCTTTCCTCTACATATATTTATATATTAGCTCATCCTATTTCTTCAGACTGTATCAGAGGGAAGAATTAAGCTTGTTACCAGTTTTACAGATAAAGCACATTGAGGCAGAGGAGAAAACTAGCTTATTTTCAGGTACCCAGCAGTCAAAAGAAAAGGAATCACCGGAGCACAGTCTCCTGGTGCTTCAGGGGAGTGCTGGTTCACAAGGACAGCAAAGGGGCTTCCTTTCTCAGAGCAAGTTTGTGGGTAGAAGAACTAAAAATTGGAGTTCACTGCTGGCTTCTGAAGAAAGAACTCTTGGGAGCATCTAACATCTGTCAAGTGAATGGGCACAGTGGCCGGAAGCCTGCCAGGGGTCTGTTCCTATAGTACGTCCTAGGCTGCTCCACGGAACTTCATTAAGTGGTGAAGAGCAAATAGGACAAAGCAGAATAGATCACCAGCAGTTTCCCCTTCCTTTTTTTCCCTCATAGTTGTCTGGTCTTTTCAACAAGACAGAAGAGCCCAAAGACGAATCTCCTTCTTCGTGGAGACTGGGACTCAGAAAAACTGGTAGTCACAACATGCTGAGTGAAGTGGCCAACTCCAGGGAAGCGTTTAGAGATCGAGGCTCTTCCATCTACCGTTCCTCATCAAGCCCTCGGATCTCAGCTGTGCAGGATGACAAGGTACAGTGAGGGAAGGGAGGGGGTCTGCCGGGCATTCCAAGGCAGTGTTCTTCAGTGAAAATTCAGTCATGACAACAAAGAGAAGTGTTTTCTAGTCCCTAGGTTATCTGTGGAAGTACAAAGACTGTGAAGATGTTCTTAAAATGGAGAGCAAAAGTAATTTCTTGTTACAAAAGGATGAAGGGCTTTGGTATAAGGCATTTGATGTCTGTTGAAATGAGTTGGCCTTGCCACTTCAATAGTTTCATCAAGTAGTTATTTATTTGCTAGTATTTTTCTTGGCCAAAAAAGAAAGTCTTAAAAATAGCTTTTGCTTTTGGATTATTTTATGTTCATTCTTTCTTACTTACCTAGAGCAAAACAATGACTCAGAAAGTTGAACAAGGCCCAAATGGTTCTTCTGAATCAGTACCAGGAAAACTTAACTCTTTTGATATTTGCAAGCAGAGTTGAACTTTGAACCTTAGTGCAGCTGGGTACGTTAGCACTTAGTGGTTTATTGTTTCTTTGTTAAAATTAAGACAGGATGGTCTGGAACTTGCTATGTAGCCTTAACCTCCCAAGTGCTGGAATTCTGGGTATATACTGTCATACCCTGCCTAATAGAAAATTTTTAGCCTGTTATTTTTCATTTGTAGAAATATATGACTAGGCTGACTTTACAAGCAGTTCACTATGGTATTCATCAAAGAAGAGTATGGTTCTAGATTTTATGAGATTCACTTAGTGTTCTACTCTGGGGTCTTCCTAGGAATCATAGCCCTCTTACTGCTTGCTTTTCTGGCAACAGCTTGAAGGGATGAGTTATAGTGGTTGGATAAACTGCAGTGTATCTGTGGCATGTGTCCTTAAGGAAGTTGCATTTTGAGGAAAAAATAGCTGGAGACTCAATGAGACCCATGCCTACCCGGCATTACATGGAGCTGCTTGTGGCTTCTCAGGCCCCCTTTCTCACTCCCCTTCATGCTGTCCTCTGTATAAATTGTGCTGTTTTCTTCACTGGAGCACCCTGACTTTCTTCTTGAGAATTGTTTCCCTCCATATAGGATTTTTATGATGGATAGGTAAGAATAAGTTTTTGAAAGATAATCTTTTATAATAACCACTCAAAATAGAATTAAGGATGAATCCAGATATGAGAATATATAACTATCATAAGATCCACTTTTTTCCTCTTCTTGAGATTTGAGGCCAAGTCTCACTTTCGTAGCTCTGGCTGGCCCTGAACTTAAAATCTTCATACTTTTACTTCCCAAGGGCTGGGATTACAAGTGTACCACTGCACCTAGTGGAATCCTGTGTTTGTACCAGAAATGTTTTATGTTCTGTCAGTATTGAATCTTTCTTGCATTTTGCATGTTTTTACTTTTATAGGAAAGGGAAAACAAAAACTATTTTAATACTTTGGCACCCCGGAGGCTCAGCAGCACAAGTGACATTGAAGAAAAGGAGAACAGGTAATCACAATACATGTCAAAAGATGATTTCTTTCTGCCCCTCTGGGCATAGGGGTATGGCTATTATTTGTCTGCCTTTTTCCACAGGTGTTCTCAGTACATTGTGGATTGCTTGTCCTGCCCAGAATACTTCCCAGCCTTTAATTTCTCTCTTTGCCAGTTCTACTCCCTTTAAATTGTAATTTCAGTTTAGACATTACTGTCTGTAGGACTCTGGTCCTTCCAAGTATGAGTTAGTTTTAGTACCCCAGCAGGCTATTGTTGCATTTCAAGACAGAACCCAATCTAGACCCTTTTTTTCTGAAGGCACGCTACTCTCAACAGACATCACTTGGGAGCCTGTTGGAACTGCAGCTCAGGCTGCATCTCAGAGCTGCAGAATTAGAATCAGAATTTCCTCAGTGATTCAAATAAATGTTAAAGCCCACGAAGGATTGCTGTAGCCCTATAGCCTCTACAGCAGAGATCCCAAGTTCTTGATTGTGAGTGCAAAAAACCTACTACAGCCCCTTCTGGATCTCTTGTCATTTGTTAATGCTGAACAGGCATATAGCAGCACCCCTCCTGTTTTCTTTCTGTAGTAACTTATTAGCTCCTTCGCCGCTGGAGATCATTGCAAGGTTCTTAAATGAGAATAAGAAGTGATTCCTCATCACAAAAGGAAGAGGGGCTTTTGGTGTGAGGTACAGTTTTGTTCCTGTTGGAATGAGTTGGCTTTAATGCTGATAGAAGAAAGCCAACACCAGGACAGGAAACAGGTGGAGAAAACAGAGTCAGTTGAAAGATGTGCTTGTTTCTTTAGCGTGTTACAGTTTTCCATTGGCTCTTCTCTGTGTTTATAGTTCAAATTGGTGGTAGGAATCATCGTTTTGTTGGTTTGTCTTTCTTGCCTCCACAGAGAGTCAGCTGTTAATCTAGTGAGGAGTGGCTCCCACAGCAGGCAGCTGTGGAGGGATGAAGCGAAGGGAAATGAAACCCCACGGACAACTGCCCCCTCCACTTATGTGTCCACTTACTTGAAAAGGTACCAGCTGCAGAGGGGTGGGAGGCGACTTCCTTCACTCTGATCATGGGAGTGTGGGTAATGACTGCATGCTTTTCATATCCAATTAGTACCACAAAAATGGGTGGCTTTTAGGCTTTTGGGGTCAACATGTTCACTGACTTAAAATTAATTTGTTCTCTTAATTCCTGGATTAAAGTAAGGCAGTTCCAATCCTCACAGCAGACATGACTTTACATGCCATCCTCTCAGCCCTATTGATATTTCAATCTGAAGTAGCATCTACTGATCTCTGGGGGAGATGGGATTTATGCTCTTGCCCAAAACTAGAGTATTTTCATCACAGGTTACATTGGGGGTGGGGAGAGGGAGGGGCACGATAGGGTGGTAAGGAATGGGGAATGGGAACAGTTTTCTATTGGATTTAAGACATTTCATGTTGAGCCTGTTAATTTAGGGACTTGAGTTGTTTTTGTTTTTTTATGACTTTAATGGCCCTCAGATCCATCAAGATGTGAAACTCGCAAGTTTGGTGTGCAGAGAAGGTACATGGGTTTCCTTTGATCTCATCTGTATTCTCTTTCCTGCAATTGTTTTCTTTGCCACAAGCTAGCCAGCAAGCAAAGCACCTCTGCCAGAACCATTAAGCTACAAGGACACTTAATAATATTTTTGTTTGAATTTCACTGCTGATGTAGAAGAATCTGTTTTTCATTGCTTACTTTGAATTCTTTCTTCACTTCCACTTAACCCTTCCAGCTATCGCCTCCTGCCTTCATCATTAGGCTTTCTAGATGGCTACCTTAGAAACAGGCTTTGGCTAAGACTGTAAGAGCAGATTTGCTGTTTGTGGTCAAAACTATTTCTACCTAACAGTAAAGCTCTTGACAGGTAGTTAATGTTAGAACATGGGAAATAAGCTGTAATGGAAACAGACACCACTGCCTTTTGATTCTTTACTTCTGCATGTACATCCTAAGAAAGGACTTGACTTTGAAAGTACCTAAGTACAGCTCAGTGATATCAACAGTTATTTTATGTATTTATTTATACAGACAAGACCTCATGTAGCCTCAGCTGGCCTTGAACTCAATTATGTAGTTGAAAGTAACCTTGAAAATTTGATCTACCTGCCTTCACCTCCTGCGTACTGAGGTTACAAGCATATGTGACTACACACACTTATGAGGCGAGGAATTTACCCCAGTGCCTCCTGTATGCTAGGCAATCATACCAACTGAGTTACATCCAAGCCCACTGACTATTACACAAATCAGGTGTTTGGGGCTTTATGAGGGTATCACCAATTTCTCTTGAAGGGAAGGCCTTGAATTACAAAGATATATCGCTATTTCTTACAGTCAAATTCAATGTCAAAGAAACTTTTCTAAGAGAATAATGTTCTAAAGGTAGGATAAAAGAAAACGTCAATTTAGTTTCCAAGTGTGGAGTTACTTGGGGGTGAGGTTATTGATGCTCATGACCCAAATTTATCAGCAAGTGGGTTTAAGTGGCTTTGGTTTGCTGTAGTTTGGGCAAAGTTATAGTGAACAGAAGATGAAAGAGCTACAAATTGTGCTTAATTAATGAGCATTTATCGAGAAAAGATCTACAACTTGCTTGGTGCCTTAGATTTCCAGTGGTTGTTTTCTGTGATCCACAGTGATTTTATAAAGCCTTGTGATCTTCCCAAGAAGAAAGAATTGTATGCCATCAGCATTTTATAAAGAAAGTACAAGAAGGAATCTCTCATCCCCTAGCTGTGCCAAGCCTTGGTATTCTTCAAATTTCCTACATCATTTCTTGTATTTAGCCAGGGGCTAGTCTCATGCATCCCAGTAAAGCACTGCTTTTCTAGAGAAAGTTTCACAGCTTTTTTCCTCACTCCCTAGTGTTGATTACAGTCAGAAAGCATCTACAAACTTCTAACACAGTGATGTTTGCTGCAGATGAGATAGTCCTTACGTCTTCAATTGAAAACGAACAAAACTCTTTGCTGTTTTCTGCCCACACACTGTTACTCTGTAGACTTAAAGTAAGCTTTAAATCTTCCCTATGCCATTTTTGTTTAAGCTAAATGACTGCAGCAGCTGATTTTTCCTCACATAGCTCCTTTCTTTCCTTTTGTGTTTAAAAATTTTAAGACTTCCCCAATTCTTGGGTCTTTTGGCTTCTGCAACATTACTTCTCTATCATGTAGGTGGTCATGTTGCATGATTTGGGGCCTGGGGTTTGTTCGGGATTTTTTTTTTCATTCTAATAATAGTCTCTCGTCATTTATTCTACTTTCTTGCTTTCCGTTGTTGAATGCCGCCTCTCTTCCTTTTCTCTTGGATGATTGATCAGAAAAAAAATCCTCCTTCAAAGAGTGATGATTGTTTCACTCTTGGATGAGTGCCTGCTTGCTGCTGGAGACCCAGCTCCGGCTGGAGTTACCTCTCCTCTTCCTTGGTTGCCATGCCATCTCTTTGGTCTACATTCCTTTCACGTGCACAATCTGGGTGGGAAGGTGGTGTTGGGAAATGGTGGGTGAGCAGCATGTCCTGAAGAAAGTGACTGTGTGCTGTTTTTCAGTGCTTCCTTTGGTAAAAGTAGTGACCCCACAAGTCCCTACATTTCAGCCAATCGCAATTCATCTCCTGCTACCTCACCCATTACCATTGGTTCATCCACCTCTCGGGGCAGCCAGTGGCAACCTGCCTCTTGCCCTGCACCAGTCAGTACAAACACTACTGCATCTGTACAACATGTCAGGTAAGGCTTCTTGGAGCCATTTGAGTTACATCATCGCAGTTAATGCTTCTGGAAACACATATGAGATTTGAAGCAAGGAGGCTTTGTCAATGTAGGAGTAAGTTAAATTCCTGTGGCAGTATCCAGAATTTAATGAAGATGCTTTTGTTTTGACTTTACTAGCCAGTCGATAGTTGCTTATTGAATAACATTTGATTCATATCATTGTCTTGATGTTCAAGAGTCAAAGTAGCATGATTGCTTTCATTTCTCAAGCACCTTTCCAATTGTGATTACTTATTATTGTTTTAGTAAGAATCTCATGTATTTAGTCTTTTGGAAGATGACATACAAACCCAAAAGAAAAGCTAATCCATGTTCCAAAAACCTCCTATAGCCTTCTGAAAATTATGCCAATTAGTATTCTTTTGGGAGGACTGTGAGGAGAGGTTTGTCTTTGCGGAAACTATGTACTGGGAGCGTATCTTTTTGCTTTTCTGTTCATCTAAAGATAGCATGACAGAGTGTCATTGTGAAAGCACAGCAAGACTTCAGTTCTTTCTTGGTTTGATTATTTTGAGATAGGGTCTCACAATGTAGGCTTAGATGACTTTGACTTCACTATGTAAATCAGGCTGGCCTTGAATTGAAAGATCTGCCTCCTAAGTGCTGTGATTAAAGACATGTACTGACACCCAGTCGATACCCTCATATACATACTTAATTGATGTGTATGTGTCTATACCTCCTTGTCTGTGTGTGCACCATCAGATCTCCTAGAACTGCATTTTCAGGTGCTTCTGCGCACCTGAAGTAGTTGCTGGGCACAGAAACTGGGTTCTTTGCATGCACCAAGTGCTCTTAAGCAGAGACTTCTCCAGCCATTAGCTGCACACCTGTAAGTAAAACTATAGGCATTTACCCTTTCCTGGGTGTTGGAGGCCATTTTGTTTTTGCCATATGACTTTAATGGACCTGCTTTGGCAAAAAGACAATTAAAAAATAAAAATGATGATAGTATTGTTGCCAGAATACCTAGTATGGTGGTGCTTCATTGATGTTTACCTGTTTAATAGATTTCTTTCCCTGAAACAAATAGTCACCATTAATTTGGTTAGAAAGAATTATTTTATAATACATTATTATTAATACTGTTATAATTATGTTGAGATTTCAAGCTTATGACTCTGATAGTAACACTATATAGTTGCATAGAAATTTATTTTATTCCAATAATAATGCAGCTGCATTGACATTCTGTGTATTATCACTAAAGATGAAGAATCCAGACAGGAGGATGGAAGCTTAACATAGTGTTTAGCACTTGCTTATCATGCCTAAGGCCCTGGGTTCAACCCTGAGCACTGAGGAAATCACAGAGCTGACACAGGGAACTGTTTTGTTGAACCCTATCTTGTGACAGGCACTGGACTAGTTTCTGTACAAAAGGGATTTGTAGACTGGGATTTGTTTTACTCACACGCAGCAGTAAATCCCTGTATTATTGCTTTAAGTATGAGAAGCTTTCCTTTTCTTATAAATAAGAAAGCCTAGAAACAAGGCCAGCGCAGCAGCTCTAAAGTCATTAAAAGATCCAGTTCTTTTTCTTTACATCATGGATTCTGTTTCCGAGGCTTGCCTCACAGTCCAGAATAACTGCTGGAGGTTCTAGCCGTGGTGGCTGCATTCTGGTTATGAAGTAATAGACAAGAGAGAAGCAGGTAAAGAAGGACCTCTGAATTAATACTTTTTTTAGAAACACTTAGAGCTGTGCTTATGTCTTGTGGTATATTTCCGGATCTGGCATACCTTGGAAGATGTGGGGTAGGTACATTGTTGCCCTAAGAAATACAGAGCACATAGGGCTGGAGAGATGGCTTCCAAGTCTGATGACCTAAATTCCATCTTTGGATTTCACGTAGTTGAAGGAAAGAACTGACTCCTGCAAATAGCTTCTGACCTATGTAAATACGTCTGTGTGCATACAAACCACACACCCCATACACCAAATAAATAAATGTAAAGAATTTATAATCTCAAAAGATAAAAAGATAATTTAAAAGTATGTATAGGGCACCTGTTAGGAAGGTCAGGGATAAGGAGTGTTAGGTAACTCTTGCCTTGGGCACTTATATGTTATTTACAATTTTGCAAGCAGCTCCCTGATATATTGAGCATCGTATGCATTTTTAGATGAGGAAGGCAAACCAAAAGCTTGGTCATCTGCCCAAGGTCACAAAGCCATTGAGGAACTGAAGCAGGCTTTATATCCAGATTAGTTCATGAAGAACCTGTTTTGTTTACCCTTAGTTTATATTTTATTCTGGGTACTATTTAGGTATTGTGTAGACATCACTTTGTTTCATCATCACGAGAGCTCTTCCTGATGGCAGCATTACTTTCCCTGTGTTATAGATGAAGAGATCAGGTCTTGAAGTTGGTTGATTATTAGCACCATGTGGTTCCATTATGTAGTTTCTGAGCCTGCTGTAGAGCTTTCCTGGCTGCCCTTGAACGACCTGCTTATAAAGTTATGACATGTTTCAAAATAATAGTAAAGTTTTATTAGAAAATAAAATAAAATCTCTGGCATTTCATCAATCTAAGAGATTGCAAGGCTGGCGAGATGTTCAGCAGGTAAAGATACTTGGGGCATAGGTCTGGCATCCTGAGTTTGAGACCCAGAACCCACGTAAAGGAGAAAGGAGAGAGTGCCACAAAGGTGACCTCTGACCTCCTCCCATATACTTTGAGCATATACACACCTATAGATAAAACTTAAAAAAAAAGAGATTACAGAGAATGCAAAACACATTATTAACCCCAAAATAAACTTCAGTAACTTTCATTAAGTATAAAATCTTACTTCAGGCTTTTTTGTTTCTGGTGTTTGTTTGTTTGTTTGTTGGTTGGTGAAGGTGGAGACTGTTTCCCAGACTGGTCTCAAATCTTGGGTTCATGAAATTTTCCTGTTTCAGCCACCTAGTAGTTGAGAGTTATAGGTAAATACACTGTTCCCAAGTTGGCACCATATCCCTGTGGCTATGCTTCTCATTAATTTTATTAGTGCTTTGTATATATTAATAAACCTGAGAAATTATCTCCAACTTTTTAGATGAGAAAATGAATATACATTATCACCTTATTCTGAGATTTTAATTGCTTCTGGAGAAGTAGCTTATATTTTTAGATATAGCTTCTATCTTCAAAAATATTATATTTTTATATGTGTCTTAATGCCAAGGTTAGACTTTATGACTTGATTATCTCTTTTATATTTACCCTAATAATATATTTGGAAGTGAGTTTGTAGTTACTTGTAACCATTTCTGATAATAATTGTGAGTAGGTGAAAAACAGATTTTTAACATTCATGCTTTTCATTGCTTTTCCCATCTCTGCAAGTATCAATTTTGGATCTCTGTTACCCCAGCAACAAGCTGTGACATCACAAATGATAGCTTTTTGGGTGGAGAGCCAATGGTTGCTCCTGTCTCTTTGTTAAGAAACAAAGATCTTATTTTCACATAAATGACTTTAATTACACAGCTTGCTGTTGCAGTCTGTAGTTAAGGTTACATATAGAATCCTGCTCCATTTCTGTTTCAGTTTCTTACTTAGGCAGCTATGAATTTAGAGAATTAGGCACTTGGCTAAATGGGAAACGACTGCAGTTGCTGGACTAGGTGAGAGAGAACCAAATAGACTGAGGTTGTAGAATAATTTTCAAATGGATAATTCAAGAAGATGATCATCAAATCTAGGCTGAGGACTGCCACAAAGACTTTCCCTGCCAAGAATTGAGGGACAGGTGGAGACTAACCTCGTAAGTGATTTTAGTGTCTTTTTTCACCTGTAGTGAGATCCTGTCTCTTTGTGCATGTGTGGAGGGAGGTCAGGTGGCAATGAGTCATTTAGGACACTTGCATATGTCACTATCTCGCCTTGTGCCACAGCTGATTTTTGTTTGTTTGTTTTTTAATCTCATGCAAAAAAAAAAACCCTATAAAATGTAAGTCCTGGGCAGAAGATGTGAGACTAAATCTATGATCATACTGTTCCAAATTTAAGAGCCCGCAATTAACAAACCAACAAACAAAATCTGAGCAAGAAGATTCTCATTAGATCTGTGCCCCTCCTTTCTCTGTGCCAGTATTTTATTGTATACCACACCTGACCATTCTCCTTTTGTTCCTGTCTTTCTTAATTTCAGGACTCCTTACAAATCCCAGACTGATTCAACAGCAGAGAAAACAACAGACAGTGTCTCTTCTAGTACCCCTCTGTGTGTGATCACCAATCGCCCTGCACCAAGCACTGCCAATGGGGTTCCAGCTGCTACAGTGTTCTCCTCCACTGGAACAGACTCCTCTGTCGAAGCCCGGGAGAAGAGGAGGTAGGGGGTTCCTGATGCATTTGCAGGGCTCTGCTTTGGATAAGAGATAGAGAAGTGGGTATGAAGTCCTTGACCCAAGCTCAAATAGATCTTAATTTACTATTTAGGTTATCTTGGAAGGTGTTTTGTTTTGTTTTTGCTGTTTGTTTGTGTTGGTGGAGGTCTTATTTCTGACCATTTAGCATTATGTTCTGTATATAGTCAGACATTTTTTTCTTCTTGTCTTATAATAATTGACAGGTATAATTTTGCCTTTTGTGATGTGGAGCTTGAAGCCCTTCATTTTGTTCTGAGTTTTCTGTGATCACTCTGTGCAGCAAAGTAATACTGTGAAAAAAAAAAACTCAAAGAAGCAGAGCTGGATGCATAGTTTTATATGTGTGAAAATAATACCAGGGAAGGAAGTGAACATTTATGGTGATGCAGGATTGAGACCCGCCTGTCTGTAATTGTTGAGCCTTGCTGTGCTCCTCAGGCTGCCTCCAGTCTTTTGAGCCTCTTGCCGTAGCCTGCCTGAGGCTAGGAGTGCATGCTCTGCTACACTGCAGTGTTTTTAGGACGGAGAGATTCTGAGAGGGCACAAGAACACAAGTTTTGGCTGTTAGGATTAAGAGGTTGTGGATATTGTGATGAAAGGAAGAACTGCTGAGTGCTGTCTCCAGCTTGTGGTCTATAAAATCCAGTGTGTGTGGAAGACTGAGGCTACAGTATCACTTTCTAAGACTAGAAAGAGGCAAACCTTTATTGAGATTTATATTTTTAGTTTGATTTATTTTCAGTATCCAAAAAGATATTTTTCTATTTCTCAAGGAAGTACTATCTAAAAGATACAGTACCAAACTTTTTAGGTATTTTTTTATTGTTAAGCATACATTTTGAAAAAGGAGGGGAGAAGTTAAGTGTATTGAAAAATGGTATTTTCCTGTTTTGTTTTTCTTCCATAAAATTATAAGAAAATCACTTTTCTGTACTAGCAGGTCTCTGAGACAATAGTTGTCCTCTTTTGTTTTTAAAAGAGACATTTTTATTTGCATGTGTATATATGGGTGTGTTTTTTGTGTGTGTGTATGTATACATACGTGTGTGTGTGCTTGCAAGTGTGTATATGCATGCCTGCCATGTGTGTTGCTGTTATCTTTGGAGACCAGAAGAAGGTGTCAGGTATCTTGGAGCTGGTGTTACAGGAGGTTGTGAGCCTCCTGGTATGGGGGCTGGGACCCAAATTTAGGTCCTCTGGAGGAGCAGCAAGTGTTCTTAAGAGCTGAGTCATTTCCCTAGCCCTAGTTGTCTTCTTGCTAATTGACTTCTAGTCAAGTAAACATTAATAAGTTGGTCTTGAATGTGTAATGCTTGTATATTTACTAATTTGCAGAGAAATACTACTAGTTTCACCTGAGAAACTAAATTTAATAGCAGACTTTTCAATAGCCATAAAAGAAATTATTCTTTAAAATGTTTCTTAGGGCATTTGTTGATAAGTGTTTTGTGCAAGTATGAGGACATGAGTTCCGATCATCAGCAACCAAGTAATAGCAGACAAGGCATCTCACATCTGTGACCTCCACTTGGAGGAGGCAGAAGTAGGCAGCCTGAGAGCTGCCCTGGCTGACAGTGTAGACTATACATGATCTCCTGGTTCAGTAAAAGTGGAGAAACAGCTGAGGAAGACATGATCCTACATACACAGCTGCATGTAAACATGTACATACTCACACAAGTACATATACCCACATCTCACACATCGTGTTTCTTAGCTGAGAGAGGTAAAAACAAGTTGGATTTATTAAGATTATGATCCTTGGGGGCCGGGCGTTGGTGGCGCACGCCTTTAATCCCAGCATTTGGGAGGCAGAGGCAGGCAGATCTCTGTGGGTTCGAGGCCAGCCTGATCTACAAGAGCTAGTTCCAAGACAGCTTCCAAAGCCACAGAGAAACCCTGTCTCGATAAACCAATAAAAAAAAAAAGATTATGATCCTTGGAATGGTGGAGAAGTCATGTTTGTTTTCAGGCTGCATTGAGTTGGTGCATTCATTAGAGAATCATGGAGAGACACTGCCTCCTTGAATATCATAACTTACATTATGACAGCATTTGCTACAGATTTGATTCTGCTTAAGTGTTTTTTTCAGTCTACAGGTATCCACTGAACACCTGCTACTTAAAAAATAGGATGGCTAGGACACATTTCCTCAAGAAGCAGCAACTGTAAAAACAAAGGACTAGCTGGGCATGAGTGGTGTGCACCTTTACTTCCAGCACTCAGGAGGCAAAGGCAGGCAACCTCTGTGAGCTCCATGCCAGTCAGCGATACACATCTAGACCCTGTCTACATAAACAAACAAAATAACTAATTAAAAATAAAAGGACAAAGCTGAGATACTAGTGAACTGTAAGTATGCTGTATCAAGATGCATGAAGAGTGCTGTTTAGTGCCTTTAAGAAGGAATGAAGTGGAACCGGAGAAATGGCTCAGCACAGAGAATGCAGGTTCTATTCTCAGTGTTCATATGGTGGCTTAACAACCATCCTAACTCCAGTCCCAGGGGGTCTATGGCCATCTTCTGACTTCCACATGTTTACACATACATACATTCAAGCAAAACATTCACACACATGAGGAACGGCATGAGGGTTTGACACTAAGAGCTGTTAGTCACTTGTTTTGTACTAACTTTCACTCTTTTCAAAATCTTGATTGCTGCTGTTACCAAGTAGTACATAAGTGATTAGGCAAATATAATATGAACCTACAGGAAACATATGTACTGGTAAAAATGGCAAGTGCTAATAATAATCACATCTGTGGTATATACAATCGAGCATCATTAATCTGAAAATAGAAAATGTTCCAAATTCCATGCATACTCAAAATTGGTTTTGTTTTGTTAATTGAAGCCCAAGTCCTCCTGGCTGCTTGGTACTTATTAAATAGTTCAGGCTTGACTTGAACTTATGGCAGTCCTCCAGCCTTAGACTCCTTCATCCTAGGATTATATATGCCACCATATCTGACTTCACATACAGAGTTCCTAAAAAGTACATAAGGTAATATTCATGTTGTGTGTGGGTGGATATGTCAGTTTTTGGACACTACGACAGGCGTCTGAGAGAAATGTTTAACAGGAGGGTACTTCGCTCATGGCTTCGCTCATGGCTTCAGAGGTGATGCTTCACGGCCTGTGGTTTATTGTTGCTGGGCCTGTGGTGAGGCAGACCATCATGATGGAAGTGTGGATGAGCAAAACTGCTCATCTCTGGCAACCAAGAAGGCAGGGAGCAACAGAGGAAGTGGACTGGAACAAGATAGCTCGTGGGGACATCCCTCCAGTGACCAACCCGCCAATGAAGTTGCACTTCTGAATGTTGTAACATTGCCTATTCGTGAGCTGTTGGGATCTGTCACTGCTCAGTTGTTGGGCTTAGCCATAGACCAAGTTTTCAATATAAGAGCAGGTTGTGGGGGACACATCATATGAAGCTTAAATGAATCTTATGTGTAGATATGGATTTCTTAACCAAAATAACTTGTTATGTTTATGAAAATATCTCAAAATCTGAAAAAAAATTCAAAATCTGATATGCGTCTGGTTCCCAGAAGTTTGGTTAAGAGATACTCAACCAGCCAGGCAGTGGTGGTGCATGCCTTTAATTCCAGCACCTAGGAGGCAGAGGCAGACAGATCTATGTGAGTTCAAGGCCAGCCTGGTCAACAAAGCTACATAAGGGAAACTCTGTCTCGGGGGGGAAGAGAGATGCTCAACCTGTACCATAAAGAGTGAGTTATGAACAGCATGTTACAGAAGATGAACACTTCTCCTGGGGACCCAGACGGCTCTCATGAGGCCTGTAGGATGAGTAGCAGCTAGGGGAAAAACTTTTTAAAAAAGATTTATTTTATGTGTATGAGTGTTTCGCCTACATATGTGCACTCCATGTGTGCCTGGTGCCTAGGGAAGTCAGAAGAAGGTGTTGGATAGCCTAGAACTGGAGGTATGGATGGTTGTGAACTACCACGTGGAGACTGGGAATTGAACCTGTGCTCTTAATACTTAATTTTAATCTCCAGTCTCCAGGGGACAAACTGTCTAAGTGAGTTATGGCAATTGAAAAGACAGTGTTAAGTGGAGTCAGATTATTTGGAGAAACTGCAAGAAGGTTTTATATCTAAATGAAACATTAGGGGGAAAGTGGTTTTAGATGAGGGTGGGAAGTAGCTATATCATGTCAGTGCAGTGTCTTGCAGCCAGTGATGAGGATTTGGGATTTATAGGCTATGAATTATGGTGAGCCAGTAGAATAATTTTTCCAACAGCTTTATAGAGATATAATTCATATATCGTATAGTGCACATGTTTAAAGTAACAAGACATTGGGTTTTTTTTTAGATTTTTTTTTTAATATGGAACGCTTCACGAATTTGCATGTCATCCCTGCTCAGGATCCATGCTAATCTTACCTGTATCATTCCAATTTTAGTATATGTGCTGCCAAAGCGAGCACTCAACAAATGTTCTTAACCACCAACCCATCTCTCCATCCAAAGACATTAACTTTTAGAATGTGGACCAATAGGGTGTGACTATTGGCACAGTGAATTTTGAACATTCTTATTACCTGTAAGAGAAATCCTATACCTATTTCCCTCATCTCTTTGTACCCTCCCTTTCTGCAACCTAAGCAACCTCAAGGACCCAAATTTGGTTCCTAGCACCCACATCCAGTAGCTCATAACCTCCTTCCTATATGGCCAGCTCCTGGGCATCTGATGCCTTTTTCTGGATTCCAAGGGTTATGTGCACACACACACACACACACACACACACACACATATTTTAAAAAACGAAATGTATAGATTTCTGTTAGGGTGTGGAGGAGGGGAATCCAAATCAGACTGCATTGGTACCTGGGAGATGACTAGAGGCAATTGGAAACTGATAAATAGCAATGGAAGGTGATATTTTAGAGGAAGCCTAAGAAATTCTTGAAACAAACAAGCTTT